ATTAGATTAACTCTGATAAAAACTAATAATAGATTTTATTACTAATTTATTTAAAGATAAATTATATATAAGAATTTTTATAATTACAGACAGACTAATAAAAAATTTAATATTTTATATAATAAAAAAATTACTACTAAAGCTACAGCTAAGTCTTTAATTAAAATAATTTTTAAATAATATAATTTTTTAAAAATTATAGTTTTAGATTACAATACCTAGTTTATAAATTATATATAGAAGAATATATATAATTTATTAAAAATTACTAAAAGATTATCTACAGCCTATTATTTTCAAATAAATAAAATAATTAAATACATAAATAATATTATTAAAGTATATCTAAAAACTTATATAAATTATAATTAAAGAATTAAATTAATCTATTATTTTTAGTACAATTAGTAATTAATAGCTGTATAAATATAATTATAAAATGTTTACTAATTTCTTTAAACTATAATTATAAATTAAATCTAAATAGTTAAAAAATAATTTAAAATATAAATTTAACGGTTACTGTCTTCAGCCCTATTTAATAAAAAATATAATTATATAAAAAATATATAATATTTTAAACTAGGTCTAAAGTACTATAGCCCATATATAATAAAATACTAAAAAATAGACTAATTAATTTTAATAAATTATTTTATTATACTAAAAAGCAATTAAATATAGTTAAGCTTATAAAATATCTATATAAATTATTCTAATAAAAAGCTAGATTAAAAAAATATAAAATATATTATTTAAAAAAAATAGAATTATATATTATATAATTTAATATAATAAAAAATATTTATTTTATATTTTATATTAACCTACTTTATCTAATAGCTAATAATATATTATTATTATAAAATTAAAAAAACTTATAACTACTACCTATAATAGTTAATAGTAAAAAAAATATAAAATTTAATTTTTTTTAATAAATAATATATAATAAAAGGCTGTAAGGGCTAATTATAATATTTTATTAAATGAAAAACTATATAAAACTAATTTAAAACTAGTTTTAATATTTATTAATATAAAAATAGCTATAAAATAGCAGCTGCAGCCCCAGCTAAACTTTAATTAACTATTATATAAATAAAAAAAAATTAATACTAATATTATTTTCAGCTTTAGTTTATACGAACCTAAAATTAAAAAAAATTAAAAGAAATTAAAAAAATAAAAAAAATAAAGTTTTTTTTAATTTTTTAAACTAGCTAAAGCAAGCTGTACTTAATTTAATAAAAAAACTAACTACTATTATACTAAATTTAGTTTATACACCTACTTTAGTCTACTAATTTTTTAATAATATTATAGAAAAAAGCAGTAATTACTGCAGGCTTATATTTAGACTTATCCAGATTATAATAACTATAATATATACTATAATTTTTAAATTTATATTTAGTATAGGCTTTATTTTACTATTTAAACAGTTATACAGTCTGCTGAAACTTTATTTAATTATTATACTTATAATAATATAGTATTATCAAACTATAGGATATAATTATAAGACTATTAATATAGAAAAAATACCTAGTATATATCTAATTTTGTTAGTATTTTATATAGAAATACTACTAGATTTTTTATCTAAACTACAGTAAAAATACTGATTTTTATTTTAAATTTATAGTAAAAAAAAACTAAATATACTACTAATCTAAAGTATAGTACAGTTAAAGTAAAGTTTTATTTTTATATATTATTAATTATATAATAATCTAATACTTTATATTACTAGTATAGGGGTTATAAATAGTTATATATTATATAAATAAAAAAAATAAATTATAGTTAGTAAAAATAGTAGAAATCTAAAAAAATTATAATAAATAAAAACTAGTATATTATTTAAGTAATCAGATTTATTAAGCCTAGTATTAGAAAAATATAATAATATAAATAAGTAAAAAAAAATAATAGAAATTATATAGATAAAAAAATAAACTAATAATACAAAAACATATATATATATATATATATATAAAAGCTAAAAAGGGGGGGAATGGTCTTTTTATATGATATTTTATATATTCTATATAAAACTGGTAGCTAAATCTAACTATATTTCTAAAACTTGTTGTATAAATAATATAAAAAAAGATTCTATTTACTAGAAGATTATTATGTTTATGTCATAGTGCAGACCTAGCACACCTATTTAACCTGCTCTACCTGTTTTACCTATTATACCTACTCTACCTATTATATCTATTTTATTTATTTTATTTAATAACCTACTGCCTTTAACTGCTTTATTATATAACCCCTAACCTACTTAACCTTCTGCCTGCTTCTGACTCTGTTTATAGCTCTTTAAGCTATATCTTATCTATAAATCTGAAAATAGCTTAATCTAAGTAGCTAGTTAGAAATAAAAAAAATTAGTTATTAAATTATTTTATTAGTCCTACTATTTCTACCATCCAGCCAGCTATATTTTAATACTATATAGCTTTACTTTTTAGAAATAGCAGCTGATAAAATATTAGTAATCCTACAACCCCTAATAATACTAAATAGTTCTAAAGAGTTTGCCTAGTATATTAGCAAGTACTCTAATAAATAATTTAACTACTATAATTAGATTTATATATATACTATAGAAGCCTAAAACTAGTTAAAAATAAAAAAAGCCCTTCTTACCTATTATTTTAATTAAGTTTAGTAAAAGAAAATCAGAATAATCCAACAGCTTATTAAAGCTACTACAGCCTAAAAGATTACTTTTAAAAAAAAAACTAAACTAAAACTAAACTTATTAAAACTATCTAAATTACCACCCCTGCAGTAAGTATTTTAATACAGAATCTAAAATCTGCTTTTATTACTAAAAAACCCACAGCTGCTTTAGTAAAAATAATTATATTAATTAATTCTAAATCTTCTGCCTCTGCCCTTTTCTTTAAATACCTATTTAATTTTAATAAGTTTAAAGATAAGTACTCCAACCTTAGATACTTTACTAATCAGATCTAAAAAAATAAAGATTAATACTAACTATTATATTATATCTGTTTTTTATAAGACCTATATTATCAGCTGTTTTAATAAGAAACTATATAGTTAAGTCCAGCTGTATATTAAAAACAAAAAATATACTTTTTTTAATTATTTTAATATTTTTGCTTTTTTAGAATACTTATTTAGAGACCCCAACAGGGAACATACTATATAAAATAAATTATTTAATCTATACTAAAGAAACCAGAGCTTCTACTTTTATTTTACTAAATTCCAGAGACTGGCCTAAAAGGCTAAGATATATTCTAATATACTCTACCTAATATTTAAATAAAATATTAGCTACAGCCTTAAGTTAATACTGGTAAATAATATTTTTTTAAAAAGTAACTACTTAACTTTTGCCTACTTTTTATAAGATCTAAAAGACCACCGCGCCTAGTACTCTGCTAAAAAAAGATTTAAAACCAGTTATAAAAGCCCCCAGCCAACTCCGTTCTATATACTTAAAAAAACCAGTTTAAGCCCTAGAATAATAATTACTAAAAATAATTTATTATATTTAAATATAATTTTATAGACTTATCTATTATATATTACTAGTTCCCTTATCTAAAAACCTTTTATTATAATAATAACAGATATTTTTACTATAAGTTAAACTGCTATTATATTAGAGACTGTTCTAAATCTAATACTAAGATTTTATATATAATATTTATATAACTACTGTTTTTTAAATCTTACTACTCTTCCCCCCCCTGCTGTACAGTCGAAGCTGTACCTAATAAATTAATCTATTTTTAAATTTTATAAATATTATAGTTTTATTACTAGTTCCAGCTAGAGTACTTTTACTTTTTTAATTTTAATAAACAGTTAAAAAAATTAAATTTATTCTAAGCCGCCAACAGGCCAAAGCCCCAGTATAATTATATACTATTTCTAAAGCTGTAATTAAAGAAATTTTTATTTAAAAAAAACTTTAAAAAACTAATCTAATAGTTATTTCTACTGTATTAGACCCCTAGAATTAGAAGATTTTAATATATACTATAGTTGATACCAGATATTTTATATTAAAAATAATAAATAAAAATTAGGCTGAAGTTTATTAACTACTACTATATCTTTTAAAAATTTAAAAAACTATAATAGGATTTAACAGCTAATAAAAAAAGTTAGGCTGTATTACCTACTATATTTATATAACCCTAAAAATATACAACTATATTAAAAAGAATATACTATTTTTAATTATTTAGTTTATATTTTATCTAATTATTATTAGACTTCTCTGGTTAAAAGCCTATAATCTTTAAATAAAGTAGGCTGAATATATACTCCAGTTTACCAGCTAGTACTATTAGATATACTATAATATTTTTTTAATATTATAAAAGATTAAAGCTTTATATAATATATCTATATAGATATATTCAGAGAATTTAATACCTTTAAAACCTTTAAAAAAATATTTATTATTTATAGTAGTATGTGCTATATATACCTAACTAAAATATTCTATATATATAATTACTATAAATTAGATTAATAAAGTACTAAAAAATACTGCTAAAATAAAAAAACCCATACTATCTAAAAAGTTTAAAAATTTTAACAATATTTTTTTTTTTAAAAAAGCTAAAAGACTACCCCTGTACTAAGATTATAACTATATTATTATTTTAAAAAATAGAAAAATACTACTGTTTGGCCTTTTATATAAAATATTTAGAAATAAACTACAAATACTAAGAGAATAGCTTTCAAAAAATCTAAAAAAAGATTTTATTTACCCCAGCTTATTACTAGTTGCCTTTTTAATACTATTTATTAAAAAATCTGGAAAAGGATTGTAATTATGTATTAACTATTATATTTTAAATACTATATTAATTAAAAACCAATACCTACTACTACTTATAAAAAAAATTTTAAATAATTTTAAGAAAATATAATACTTTACAAAAATTGATATTATTAGTACTTTTAATAATATTAGGATTAAAAAAGACTAAAAATATCTAACTATTTTTAAAATCTGTTTAGGACTTTATAAGATATTAGTAATACTGTTTAGGCTTATAAAAGCCCCTACTATATTCCAGTACTATATTAATAATATTTTAAAAAACTATTTAGACGTTTTTTATACTATATATTTTAATAATATTCTAATATACAGAATATTTAGAATATATCTGCTATATTTTATAAAAGCTATATAAAACCAGTCTTTATACAAAACTTTTAAAAATATAAATTTACTGTATTAGAAACAAAGTTTTTAGATCTAATTATAAATTATAATAGGTTTAAAATAGATTTAAAAAAAAATTAAAATAGTAATTTAGTAGCTAATCCTAACTTATATAACTAATATATAAGTTTTCTTAAACTTTAGTAATTTTTACTGCTGGTTTATTAAAGATTTCTTTAAACTAACTATACTGTTTATATATTTAATAAAAAAAAATATTTTATTTAACTGGTCCTCTATCTGTTAAAAGGTGTTTAAAAATTTAAAAAATACTTTTACTAAAACCTTTATTCTACAGCTGTTTAATTAGACTTATAATATTATAGTAGAAATTAATACCTTTAATTTTATTTTAAAAAAAGTCCTATTGTAGTATAGAGATAATAAAATACTATATTTAGTTATTTATTTTTCTAAAAAATATATACCAGCTAAATATAATTATAAGATTTATAATAAAAAACTACTTACTATTATTTACTGCTTTAAAAAATAATATTCTAAATTAAAAAAAATATTATTTTTAATATAAGTTATATTAGACTACTGTAATTTAAAATATTTTATATTTATTAAATTATTAAACTGCTAATAGGCCAGATAGTTAAAATTTTTATTTTATTTTAACTTTAAGATTACCTACTGACTAGGAAAATATAAAGTTAAATCCAACAGTCTAACTAAAAGATTAAATAATCTTCTAAAAAAAAGAAATAAATACTTACTATACTAAAATTAAATAATTTTAAAATAAAAGAATATTAATTCTGTTTATTTACTAATACTACCCCCAACTCCACCAGAAAGTAAAGATAACAGTAAAAAAAAAAAAAAATAACCTTTTAAAAAAGCTAAAAATAATAATTTTTTAAAACTAACTAAAATACTAGCTTTAATTACCAGAATCTAAAGTATAGCCTTTAAAAATAAATAAAAACTATAATTTTTATTTAGAATATAAAAACCCCTCCGCACTGTATATAAAAAGAATAAATAGATTAAAAAAATATTAAAAGTTTTAGTTATTAATAAAACTGATATCCAAAAGTTTTATTTTTATTTTATAAAAAAAAAGCTTTCTATTTTATAAAAACCAACTATAAATATTTAATAATAATTAGATTAAGGCTGAGCTGATATATCTAGTTTATAATAAGCCTATTTTTAAATACTTTAAAAAAATCTGTATTTATAAACTTTTAGCCTAAAAATACTACTAGTCTAATATCTACTATTATATAAACTAATAAGTAAAAAACTACTATATATACTAATAAACCACACTCTTTTAAAAAGCTAAATAAGAAATTCTAAAACTATTATTTATTTCTAAATAAGCCTAGTAAAATATATTTATAGACTTTATTATATACCTACTAAAAAGCCAGAGTTATAATACTATATTAATTATTATTAATTATCTAATAAAAATAAAATATTTAATTTTTTATAATATAACAGTAAATATTTTTACTATTATAATAATATATATATAGTATATATAAAAACTGCATAGGCTACTTTAATTAGTTTTTTTAAATAAAAGCCTTTAGTTTGTCTTTAAATTTTAAAAATATTTAAAATAATAACTAGATATTACTAGTAAATTTTTAACTGCTTATTATCCTAAAACTAATAGCCAGATAGAATAAGTTAATACTATACTTAAATAATATTTTTATATTTATATAAATTATTTATAGAATAACTGGAGCTAATAGCTTCTACTAGCTAAATTTATATTAAATATAATTTATTTAAATATAATTAAAACTACTCTATTTTTTATAAACTACAGATTCTACTTTTATATAGGGTTTAAACTGGTTTTTACTTTAAACAGCCCTACTATCTAAGATACAGACTAGTTTACTATAAAAATATAAACTATTACTAAATTTATTAAAGCAGAAATAGCTACTGTCTAAGTCTAATATATAAAATAAGCTAACTAAAAATATAAACCAGTTAAAAAATTTAAAAAAATTAAAAAATATAGCTAGATACTTGCTATATTAAAACTCTAAGATCTAGTAAAAAACTTAACTAAAATATTTTAAGGCTATATAAGATTAAAAAAGTTATTAATTTATATATATACTAACTAGCCCTACTACTAAATATAAAAATATACTTTATATTTTATACTAGTTTATTAATTCTAATTAATAAAGATTTTTTACTAGAGCAGCACCAGCCGCCGCTACTATATATAAAAGTTAATAGATTTAAAAAGTAGGAAGTTAAAAATATCTATAATTTTTTATAAAACTATAAAGAACGCGGCTGCTTTTATTTAATTTATATAATTAAATAAGTAGGGTATCTAGATTCTACTGCAAAACCTACTAAATATCTAAATAATACCTACTAAATAGTTAAAAAATTTTACTACTGTTATTCTAATAAACTACAGTCTATACTTTAATAGAGCTTAGCTTTAAAAAAAATATATTATTATAGTATAAATTTAATATACTTATTTAATTTACTCTATCTATTTTACCTGTTATATTTATTTTTTTATTATATTTATTTTATTTATTTTATTTAATAATCTGCTGTTTCTAACTGCTGTATTATATAACCCCTAATCTATTTAATCTTCTGTCTGTTTTTAATTCTGTTTATAGCTTTTCAAGCTATGTTTTGTCTATAAATCTAAAGATAGCTTAACCTGAGTAGCTAGTTAGGAATAAGAAAAAACCAGTTATTAAGACTATCCCACCAGCCCTGCTATTCCTACCACCCAGCCAGCCGCACCTTGACAGTTTACTAAATAAAAAAATTATATAAAAAAACTATAATAAATAAAACAGGCCCTACTTATATAGATACTGCCTACTAACTAGCTATAATATTATCTAAAAGAGCTAAAGTATAGAACTATTATTTTAGATTCTAAATAACTATTTATATAAATAAAAGCTGCAGAAGATAATATAAAAAAGGCTTTTATTATAAAACTAAAATCCTAATATAAAGCTTAGCTTTAAATACTAATTAATATTTAAGATTTCATATACTTTATATTAAACTAGTACTAGCTTAGTATGTATATAAAAGAATTTTATATAAACAGATAAAATTGCTCTTCAGCTATTTTTTCTTATTCTAGGGCATGTTTTAATTAGTATAATCCATCCGTCCCATAACATATATACTATAATTTTTAAATTTATATTTAGTATAGGCTTTATTTTACTATTTAAACAGTTATACAGTCTGCTGAAACTTTATTTAATTATTATACTTATAATAATATAGTATTATCAAACTATAGGATACAATTAAAAAAACTGTTAATATAAAAAAAATACCTAGTATATATCTAACTTTATTAGTATTTTATATAATAATACTGCTGGATTTTTTATTTAAGCTATAATAAAAGTACTAACCTTTATTTTAAATTTATAGTAAAAAATACTAAATATACTACTAATCTAGAGTATAGTAAAGTTAAAGTAGGGCCTTATTTTTATATACTATTAATTATATAATAATCTAATACTCTGTATTATTAGTATAAGAATTATAAATAGGTATATATTATATAAATAAAAAAATAAATTATAATTAGTAAAAGTAGTAAAAATCTAAAAAAAATTATAATAGATAAAAACTAATATATTATTTAAGTAATTAGACTTATTAAGCCCAGTGTTAGAAAAAAAAGGCATAATATAAATAAACAGAGGGAATAATAGGAATTATATAGATAAAAAAAACAAACTGGTAATAAAAAAAAGAAATATATATAAAAAAAGTTAAAAAGGGGGAAATGGCCTTTTTATATAGTATTTTATATAATTTATATAAATCTAGTAGCTAAGCCTGACTATATTTCTAAAACTAGTTATATAAATAGTATAAAAAAGATTTTATTTACTAAAAGATTATTATATTTACTCGATAAAAAAGGATTATATAAAAAAAAGCTATAATAAATAAAACAGACCTTTTTTATATATATACTACCTACTAACCAGCTATAATATTATCTAAAAAAACTAAAGTATAAAACTATTATTTTAGATTTTAAACAGCTGTTTATACAAATAAAAGCTGTAGAAGATAATAAAAAAGAAAAAGGACATTTATTATAAAACTAAAATCCTAATATAAAGCTTAGTTTTAGATACTAGTTAGTATCTAAGGTTTTATATACTATATACTAAACTAGCATTAGCTTAGTATATATATAAAAGAATTTTATATAAACAGATAAAATAGCTCTTCAGCTATTTCTTCTTATTCTAAGGCACATTTTGATTAGCACAATCCATCCGTTCTGTAACAATTTCTTTGTATATCTTATAGTTTGGATAATTATAAATAATTGTAATATATCTTTGTTTTATATAAATATATTTATAGCTGATTCTAAACTTTCAAAAATTAATTTCTAGTAGTTTTAAAAGTATTTGTTTTGTTTATATCTAATTTTATTTTTTATATAATATAAAGTGTTTTACAGACCTGTATTTTATATATATTTATTTCGTATATAAATTGTAATATAATCAAAAGAAATAATTAAAAAACTATTAAACTATTTTATGAGTAAAAAGTTTAAAGAATTCAAAACTTCTATAGGTATATTATCTAGTTTAAATAGTATAATTAAATATTCAAAAAGTTTAAACTTTATACAAAATACTATTTTTTATTTATACTATACTGTAATTTAATTTTATAATAGGTTTTATAAAGATTTAACTATAATAATGAACTAATTTCGGAATAATTAATTATATCTTAAAGAAAAATCCATATACTCAGTGTATACCAGTATATCATATGATCAATTATATCACTATTAATTATTTGTATCAATTTCCATCCTCTCACTAGAGTACATCTGATCTGTATTACCATCACATCCAAGATCCAGGAAAATTGATCGATTAGGATCTAGGGAACCATGCTTCATATGATGTATCTGCCGGGCGCGCTCCCTAGTAGCAGCAAGGGCCTTGCGGACATTATCACTTTCCTTGGGAGCTGTAAGCGGTACGGGCTCACTGTAGAGTACCAGCTCTGTACAGTGAGCCTGGTCGTCGGCCACCAGCATTCTTGGAACTGTAGACAGTGTATCAACCACCCCCGACAAAATTGTGACTTCATTGTCCAGAGTTTCAAGATTTTGTAGCTCCATATCCAAGTCATGTATATAAATTGTATGATTGGTATCATCAAGCATCATCCGATCGCCATGATTAGACGTGGCGAGTTTTTTCCGGCCAAAGGTGTCATCTTGAAATGTCAGAGGAGCTAGAAACAATTTTTCATGAGTGAAATGATCTTCCAGGATATTTAAAATGAACCTGTTCATGGGATAAGGGTAGGCATCATATACTCACTTAATTGTAGATGGCTGAACTTTTTGGTCAGAGGCTGGTCATTGTCAGGATCAGTTTCTGCGGGGCGCTTTTTCCCGCGATAATTGCCCACACAACCAGGTTGCAATGCCATCAGCTACAGGGTACTTGACTTGCTTTATATTGGACATAAGACACGGAAAGTCAAGCAGCGAACGAGTTCATTATTTGTTGCTGAATGAGGAAGGATGTATTAACTGAGCGAATTTCTTGATGAATATCCACAAGTTTTCGTGGGACGGGGAACTGGCTTTGACTCATCTTTTATCGTGCTTTAGGTCAAAACCGAGAATATTCTACCACCTTCACACTCCCCCGCTTTGGAACAAACCACCAGGAAAGCTCAACATAAGATCATTCAGCATGGCTTCAAGCGACCCGCCAACGGTGGAATGGACGTCCAAAAAAGTTCGAGATACATTTCTTCAATATTTCAAGGGAAATGGTCATACATTTGGTAAGCAATACAACTTCATCTGGTCAAAATCTTTCAAGTTAGCTCATACCTCCCGGGCACATAGTTCCATCGTCGCCTGTAGTGCCTCACGCCGACCCAACACTGCTATTCACCAATGCTGGAATGAACCAGTTCAAGTCTATCTTCTTAGGCACAGTTGATCCTCAATCCGACTTTGCCAACCTTAGAAGTGCAGTCAACTCTCAGAAGGTGGCGAATGCTTTCCTTACTCTGCTGCTCCTTGTCGTGCTAATGATTCTACTATACAGTGCATTCGCGCCGGAGGAAAACACAATGTGATTTCAATCCGATATAACTCCGTTAGCGAGATCAATCTGCTGACTGCACTAAACCTAGGACCTTGATGATGTTGGCAAGGACAGTTATCACCATGTAAGGGCCCCGGATTGCAACGATCACATTTTCGATGCTAATCACAAACCACTATTTAGACCTTCTTTGAAATGCTCGGTAACTGGAGTTTCGGTGATTACTTTAAGAAAGAAGCAATTTGCTATTCCTGGGAGTTGTTGACCAAAGTATATGGACTGGATCCTCAGCGTCTCTACGTTACATATTTCGAAGGCAATAACGAAGGAGGCCTGGAGCCTGATTTCGAGGCGAAGGAGCTTTGGAAATCCGTGGGCGTTCCAGAAGATCACATTCTTCCTGGAAACATGAAGGATAACTTCTGGGAAATGGGTGATCAAGGCCCTTGTGGACCCTGCAGTGAGGTTCATTATGACCGCATCGGTGGGCGTAATGCTGCCCACCTTGTGAATCAAGATGACCCCAACGTTCTTGAGATATGGAACAACGTCTTCATACAGTATAATCGCGAGTCAGACCGGTCCCTACGGCCACTTCCCAACAAGCATGTCGACACTGGGATGGGATTTGAGAGACTCGTATCGGTATTGCAAGACAAGCTCTCTAATTATGACACAGACGTTTTTTCCCCTCTATTCCAGGTTATCAAGGATGTCACCGGAGCTCGCGAATATCGCGGAAAGTTCGGCGCCGAGGACGCCGATGGCATAGATACTGCGTACCGTGTCATCGCAGATCACGTCCGTACCCTGATGTTTGCAATCTCAGATGGCGTGATCCCCAACAACGAGGGCCGTGGGTATGTTATTCGCCGAGTGCTGCGTAGAGGGGCACGCTACGCTCGCAAGTACTTCCAGGTGGAGATTGGAAGCTTTTTCTCGAAGCTTGTCCCCATCGTTGTGGGACAACTGGGCGACATGTTCCCAGAATTGAAGAAAAAGCAGTTTGACGTTATGGAAATCCTTGACGAGGAGGAGATGTCCTTCGCTAAGACACTTGATCGTGGTGAGCGCCAGTTTGAACATTATGCCCAGCAAGCCACGGCCAAAGGGAATGAGAAACTTCATGGCGCCGACGTCTGGAGACTGTATGATACCTTCGGGTTTCCCGTCGACTTAACCCGTATCATGGCAGAGGAACGTGGGTTGCGGATTGATGATAGCGAATTCGAGGAGGCGCGCCTCAAAGCGAAGGAAGCGAGTAAGGGCCAGAAAAAAGCGGCAGCCGACACAGTCAAGCTGGACGTTCATGACTTGGGCAAGCTAGAAATGATGAGCGACGTTCCCAAGACCGACGATACAGCCAAGTTCGGTAAGGGCAACATCAATGCCCAAGTGAAAGCTATCTATCAAGGTAAGGCATTCCACTCGTCCACCGCAGACATATCCGACGGTGAACAACTTGGAATTATTCTCGACCGCACCAACTTTTACGCGGAGCAGGGTGGACAGGAGAATGATACCGGCAAAATTATCATTGATGGCAAAGCAGAACTGGAGGTTGGTGATGTTCAGCTTTATGCTGGCTATGTCCTTCACACGGGTTTCATGAAATATGGTTCACTAGCTGTTGGAGACACGGTTATCTGCGAGTACGACGAACTCCGTCGGTGGCCAATTCGCAACAATCATACAGGCACACATATCCTCAATTTTGCGCTAAAGTCAGTCTTGGGTCATGGTATCGAGCAAAAGGGCTCCCTTGTTGCCGCTGAGAAGCTGAGGTTCGACTTTTCTTACAAGTCGCCTATAACGGACAAAGATCTGGCGAGAATCGAGGAGATATCAACTGAGTATATTCGTCAAAACTGTGCAGTCTACTCTCAAGAAGTTCCTCTCGCTACTGCTCGCCAAATTTCAGGAGTCCGGGCCGTATTTGGGGAGACGTATCCCGATCCTGTCCGCGTTGTCTCCGTTGGAGTGGAGATTGGTGAGATCCTGGAAAATGTTAAAGATCCTAGATGGGATGAAGTGAGTATTGAATTCTGCGGTGGAACCCACGTGCAGAAAACAGGCGATATTAAGGACCTTATCATTCTTGAAGAAGGAGGTATCGCTAAAGGAATTCGCCGGATCATTGCTGTCACTGGAGAAGATGCACACATCGTGCAGCGCCTTGCAGAGGACTTTAAAAAGCGACTCGATCGCCTAGAGGCTATGCCCCTTGGCTCGGATAAAGAAAAGGATGCAAAGCAGATCCAGGCGGACCTGAATCAGCTGTCAATCTCAGCCCTCCAAAAGTCTGGCTTCCGAGAACGCTTCACTCGCATCAATAAACAAATTCTCGATGATCAAAAGGCGCAGCAGAAGCTTGAGTCCAAAACCGCTCTTGAAACTGTCACTAGCTATTTCCAGAACCCAGCAAACAGCGACAAATCTTGGCTTGTGGTCCAGCTTCCTATTTCCGCCAACGCTAAAGCTGTCAGCGAAGCGATTAACTACGTCAAGGCCAAACTGTCCGACAAGACCGTCTACGTCTTGGCTGCAAGCCAAGAGCAAGGCCGTGTAGCACATGGTTGTCATGTCTCTAAGGTGGGCGCTCCTCCTCCCGAACCTAACTTCTACCGTTCGGTTCCCTTTCGTGACAAGTTCCTTCTCATGCGGCTAACTTGAATGCTTGTGATTAGGCAACGAGTGATCAAGGCGCTTCTGCCACGGAGTGGGCCACCGTTGTGTCTAGCGCAGTCGGAGGCAAGGCTGGAGGCAAGGGTCCCACTTCTGTTGGCAATGGCGTGAACCCTGATAAGGTTGATGAAGCCATTAATTTGGCATGCGACTATCTTTCCAAGTTCAAACTCTAGAATGTATACAGTTCTCTGTTTGGCAATCACATGTCGCCAGATTAACTTGTCCTTTTGTTCATATCTCTCTTCCCCACTGAGGGCTGCATGTCCTTGACAAGCACAATTCTTGAATGTTACTCTCAGTGTTATTTACAATTTGTTAATCTTGCAAAGTAATTAGTACAGAGGTTCCTTGAATTCTGTTGTAAACACTTTTCAGCATGAACTACACTTCATCACATCTCACCGCATTGTATAATGACAACATCCTGGTTGGGCTTATCTCTGGTTGTGCGTGTATTTTCGATCATATGCACGATCTCCATCCCGTCTACCACCTGGCCAAAGACAACATGCTTACCATCGAGAAACGGGGTGGCAGTAGTTGTTATGAAGAATTGGCACCCATTTGTGTTAGGGCCGGAGTTCTGTGATGTTAGTAGCCAAGCTCGCGATCGTATTCAAAGGTCGGAAACATACCGCCATGCTTAGCATGCCTGTATGTTTATGCTTAAGTGCAAAATTCTCGTCCGCAAACCTCGATGTTCCGTATATGGTACAGGACCCTGTCCCGTCGCCATTTATGAAATCACCTCCCTGGATCATAAAATCTTTGATCTTAGTCAAGTCAGCTCTGGAACCGAAGAGATGAAACTCGAATTTAGACAAACCACGCGATGGAATTTGCAATTCTTGTATCCTTGGGATCGCCCCTGGGCGTTTTTATTCTCTCCAGTACAGAACTGCCGAAAGTTTTCTGCCGTGCGCGGAGTGACGTTCGCAAAAAGCTCCATCTTGATACGACCAAGAGGCTCCCCTGGAATCTCCATTTAGCAACTCGACATTGACATGAAACATAAATGGTACTTCCGTGGTGGGCCTGTCCAAGCTCGTGTGTATGGCTGTGACAAGATCAGAAGCACTCCTGTCCGACTTACCTCCTAGGGCCACATCGAAGAAAACCACTGGGTTGGCATCTTTATGGGGAAAACTAGTATCATTCTCCATGCTTGATTTTGAATCTCTTAATTTACCCGTACTTGTTATATGGAACTAGCCAAGCAGGGCGGAATTATGTTTGTGTTAATCCCACTCCACTTGTAGCGAAAACGCACAAGACATGGAGATTATAGATTACAGAACTACGGAATGCCAACAAGTACATTCTGGCCTTAGCCTTGGGAAATTTGCATCATTCCCCACTTTACACTTTCCGATCTATATAGGCAGTACAGTTCATCTAGCCGGTATAAACCGAGTATTTTTCTCAACCCAAACCTGATGTTCCGTCTACTTGACATGTCTCATGTTGTAAAAGGATGTGTAGTGAATGTAGGTGTATTAAGGTTGAATAGAAGGCTAAAGTTGCTGACTATACATAAATGGGTACAGTACTGTACAAGCCGGCTGAGAGTTAGTCATTGCGGCACCGTTCCAATATCATAGTACAACCTGTCTCGTGACTTGTTCTTGCAACCTCAGCACTTTACAAGCCTGGTGTCGAGGAGCCTCCCTCCGGATCTCACTCCAATGTTAAATGTACAGCGTACACAATCCATATCTCCTCCATGCCTGCACAAGGTGTTCAGACTCTTAGCTTAAATTGAATAGTGATGAACTGTGGCTATTCTCTTATCGTCCCTCCTCGCTTGTGGTCTCCGCCCAGATGAGCTGTATTGCCACCGTCGGTTTTGTCCTTTGAGTCAATAATACCACTCTCAAGGCGTAGCCTTTGCTCGATTAACACTATACAAAGAATCTTCTCTCCCCCGATGATTGTACGGACTGTCTTCTGATTCTACTCCGCGTGGGTTGTCTTCTTGATTTGCAAGAGGCAATACCTCTCACACTTCTAATTTTATTACCTCCTCTCGGGCAAGATGTCTTCGACAACCACTACTTCGTCTCCCAGTGCAACCAACACTGATCATACTGCGGCCAGTAACAATACCAGTCCTACAAGCTCACCATTGCTATTCTTTGTTGCACTTGGTTTTGGTGTTGTTTTTACAAATCTATGGTGTGCTCATGTCGCTCCTGCTGAGATATCTGTCCGGGATTAATCGATTTCCTAGGATCATCGTTGGAGTGAAGTATTGTTTCCGATATAACCAACGGAATCGACAGATTCGCGGTGAAGAATCAGGGGAACCCATAGACCTACTAGCCATGCCTCGAACACATCGGCGACGGCGCGAAAAGAAGTTGATGAGTATGGACGAGGTTAACGAGCGTTTCCCACTCGTCAAATATAAAGTTTGGCGCTCTTCCCGCGCCGACGAAGGTCTCTCGACTGCCGGTGGTATTGCAGCCTCCGTTGCCGGTGATTATAACCTCGAGGATGGCCATAGCCGTTTTACCAGATCCTTTGCCGCGCCAACATCACAGCTGAACGATAATTTACAGCTTGAATCCGCTGTGTCTCAGGCTAAAGAACAACTGCCACGTAACGAAATACCTTTAGGTCAATCGGGGGAAAAGGGGAGCTCTGGATTTGACGGAATTGAAACCCATGCCAAGGAAAGTACCCAACTCCGGAAAATATTGCTCTTAGCTGACCGTCCTCCCAGTCCACGGACGAGGACGATGACGACATCGGAAACCAAATACGTACGGCCATTCCCGCCGAACTTCTTGCTAATCCTGGTGACACCTGTGCCATATGTCTTGATCCTCTTGAGGACGATGATGACATACGCGGGCTCACCTGTGGCCACGCCTTTCATGCTTCATGCGTCGACCCTTGGCTAACAGGTAGAAGAGCTTGTTGTCCACTTTGCAAGGCGGATTACTATGTTCCGAAGCCACGTGCAGAAACCCGTGAATCTGCCATCAACCAAGAACGCACCGGCCGTCGTCTCATCGTCCCAACTTATCCTCAAACAGTATTCTTAGGCGGAGGCCGAATCGATAGCCCTGGGCCTCCTACAGTGTCACCGCGCACACAGCAGGTGCTACCGACATTCAGGACCGCCTTTTCGCGACTCGGACATTGGCGAAGATCTGGCGTTGACGACAGCCACGATATAGATAACACAGCTGAAATAACGATACGTTCTGGTCGAGGCAGCAGCAGACTTGGCCTATTTTCTTCGGGTCCTTTTCGCCCACATAATTCTAGGCAGAGCCGCGGGGGGGATGAACCTGAGCGCCGTACCATGGTCACTGCGTCACTGGGCAATAATCGCACCCTCAGTCAGCTTGAGGCTGGACCCGCTGTTTGAGCCGTGGCTGCCTTTGATTTATTCATGGCTTGAATAACTGACGCTTTTTATATGTCGGTTTCACATGTCCGGAATCTGGGCTGGAGCGTCCATAACTTCAATGGGCAGCTCAGCATGGATACTCATGTATTCTGTAATTCCAAGGCACCAAACAAACAAAAGCGATCGCTTACTCAGACTGAGGAACAGTGCACATCCCCCAAGATCCCAAAGGTCTATCTTATTGACGAGCAGTACATCGTATTTTTGAAAGCACATTGATCCTTAGGCAAACCCAGATGTATGCCTCGGCCTGGTGCTATGGGCACAAACTCAGACGGAGGTGTTCCCAACATCCTCAATTACTGAGCGGCGGAAACCAAAACTCAAACTAAGCACCTACCATAGGCCAGGGTGCTGTGGGGCGTCTATACTCAGCTCGTCCTATTCTATACCCAAAGTGGTAATACTTTGGTGCTTTACCAAACACTTTACATCAACAACAGTATCATGTCATCATACAGAGTGTGGTACTTGAGTGTGGTGATGGTCACAATGTGCCTGGACACTATCCATAGTCTAAGATTTCTGTCTTCTAGCAATAAGGATATGCTACCCTAAGGCAGATTATTTTTAAAGGTGATAGGAAGTCTAGTCATTTCTCCTATTCATACATAAGAAGTCTATTCATAGGACTTGTCTAGAGTACTCACTCAGTAAGGTAGCTCAAAAATAAAAAAAAGTAGAACTAGATAGTTTCAGATCTGCTGGTTTTGTCACAATCTGTAATTAGTATTGGAATGGACTAAAGACGATGATAACTTGTGAGATTCTCAGACCATCTGTGTCAGAAACTACTTAACGCAGTACTCCGGTTGACCCCGGTGATATTGTTAGTACGGTGGGGAGGTGCAGGGATTTGAATCTTTTGAATTCTGCTGTATATATAATTATTAATACTTTGTATGGCTACCTGCGGCGTTAATCACCGCTTCGCACCTCGCTGTTATACTATCAACTAATTCATCCAAAAATGCCTCCGGTAAGGCATCCTAAGAAGCCCGTACAACCTCACATAGCTGATTATATAATAGCTGTTTATTATTAGGAAAAAAACACTCTATCCAGTCTTTCATCCAGTTCCATACAGTCTCAATTGGGTTGAGATCTGGTGAAAAGGCAGGCCAAGTAATTGGAAAGACCCCATACTCTTAAAGTTCTTAAATAGTATCCTTACTTGCATGGCCGGGTGTGTTATCTTATATTAATTAAAGCCGTTGTTATTCTTCCTGCTCAATTAAATATATATATCTATAGATTATTGGAACAATCCGCTCGGAATAACGCTCGGTGTTAATACTGCCCCATTCCTTCTCCCAAAAAAGACAGGGCCCTTTAGAATTGCTGTGGAATAAAGCCCAGAACATCCAGCCACGTTTTTGAGATGGATTTGTACAAAGGCAGGTCTTATCAAGTTCTTCACCGGCTTTGCAAGTTACGTATATCTGTTTATAAAAGCCTAAAGTTACCCAGGTTTTATCAGTCCAAAGAATTCAATTCCATTGGTTATGAGTCCAAAATAAGTATTCAAGTGCCCAAGCTAACCTTGTCTGTTTATTGGCCGGTGAAAGAGATGGTTTTTAAAGGGCTTTGCAGTGTGAATAGCCTCGCTTTTTAAAAGCATATACTAAGACAGTAGTTTCAACAGGTAGTTTAGGTTCTTTAATAACATAATAGTATAGCAAGCGGCGTGTACGTTTGGAGCTTGATATCCATTATATAATATTATTAATATCCTTTTCTAAAAGCTTTGGTGGATTGCCTTTGGCCTTTCAAGGTATAGCTTATTAACTTTAACATATATATTATACTTGGCGATAGCTAAATCCAAGTTAATTTGTAATTTGTTAATATATTAAGCCAGCATTACAAAGAGTAAGAATTCGGAGTTGATCATCTCGATCAAGGCGCTTTAAATAAGGCGTATTAGAAGGGGAGGTAGGCTTAGGTGTAGAAGGCATTTTTATAACAACAAGAATTAGCATATATTAATAATTTTGACGCGTTCACGGCTTTATGAATTCAACACGTAGCTTAATTAAGAAGGCGGTGCTAGGTGGAAGACTCACCGCTTAAAGGATTCAAATCCCTGCACCTCCCCACCGTACTAACAATATCACCGGGGTCAACCGGAGTAGACATGTTAATTAGGCAAGGCAAAAGCAGTTAAAAATAGTCTTCTATTAATTATAAGACTAATTCTTAGGGATTTCCAATCCTTCTAAGGATTTTAAGTGCTAATATATATTCTAAAAAACATCAGCTTTATACTAATATAAAAATCCAGATTAAAAGCCTAATAAATTAGTAATAATATTAGTATTAAAATAAAAGCTGATAGTTATATACTATAAATATTATATAATAATTTATACTTCTCTACTAAGCCGGACTATCTAATTTAAAATATAAATAAAAATAGGTTTAATATATAATTTAAAAAAATAATTTAAATATTTAATAATATTTTAATAAACTATACAGCTAGTATTACTATAGTAGTAGAACTGTTAATATAATATTATACTATTTTATATTATATTTTATATAAATAGAGTAAATAAAAAATATATACTATTAATAATCTAATTAGAATTTAGTATATATTATATTTATAAATAAAAAAATTTATTATAGCTTTATTATTTTCTATATTTCAACTTTTTATTTATTTTTTTATACTTATTTTATATTATTTTTAGTATTATTTTTATTTGTTATTTTATACTTTTTATTAAATCTAAATTTTTCTTAAATTAAATTGTTAAGAGAAAATGGGTCAGTTAGATATAGAATTGTAGCAGTCTATTAATTTCAAGACTAATCCTTACCTTTCTAAAGATATAGTCAG